CCCGAAGTGGTGCGACGGCCTTAAGAATGAACAAAGTGCTTTCGAGAACTAATGACGTCCTCTCAGAAAAATCGGACGTCATGCAGCGATGGAGCGAATTTTATAGAGAAATGTATGCGTGTGATGATCTTAGTGAGGGATCCGGGGATGACTCCGTGACTGGTACGCCAGACCCGGACCTCGATGACACTGAGGTCATCAGTATGAAAGAGATTGAACGTGCGATTCGAAGTTTGAAATGTGGTAAAGCTGCGGGACTAGACAGAGTTACTGCTGAAATGGTCAAGTATGGTGGGCCTCGCGTCTGGGACAGCTTTCATCTGCTGTGCAATTTGTGCTGGCGGACGGGGGATGTCCCGGATGATTGGCGATCCGCAGTCATTGTGCCTTTATATAAAGGTAAAGGTTCACATTTTGACTGCGGGTGCTATCGGGCGATCAGCTAAACTGGTCAAGTTTAGCAAGTAAAGTTTACTCGAAGGTTTTGACACGTAGGATGCAAGAGAAATCGGAAAGATTTCTATGGGAGGCACAATGCGGATTTAGACCTGGAAGAGGATGCACGGATCAAATGTTTTCTCTCCGCATGATCACGGAAAAACTTCTGGCTGCTAACCAGAGGATTTTCTGTGCTTTTGTGGATCTTGAGAAAGCATTTGATAAGGTTGTAAGGAAGAAAATGTGGGAACTGTTGCCGGGGTATGGTGTGTATGGTCGATTGCTAAGGGCTGTGCAGTCTCTTTACTGTGACTGTAAAGCCTGTGTGCGGGTAGGGCATGACCTGTCACCCATGTTTGACGTCCAAACGGGCGTAATGCAGGGTTGTGTCATGTCTTCCTGGCTGTTCATACTGTATCTCGACAGCTGTTTACAGAAGCTGAAAGATAGCTGTTTGGGTGTGAAATTGGGTGACATAAAAGTAAATTGTCTGCTGTATGCTGATGATGCAGTGCTTATTGCACCATCAGAGGCAGAACTGCAGGCATTAGTCACGTGTATGAAAGAGGAATGTGAAATTAAAGGTCTCCGTTTGAATGCTAATAAAACTAAGGTTCTGGTATTTGAAAGGGACGAAGAGAGAACGAAGTGTGAAATATGGGTAAATCAGGAATGTCTAGAACAGGTAAATGAAATTGTATACTTGGGGAGTGCTTTTAGCCGGGATGGAAGATGTGATTTAGATGTGGACAGGCGTGTCGCTGCCGGGAACAAAGTCAATGGTGCCCTGACTGCGTTAGTCAAAAGGCAAGGCATAGCGAAGAGTGCACGCCTTGCAATACATAACGCAGTTTTGGTACCGACTTTGTTATATGGCAGCGAAACCTGGGTATGCCAGAAGAAGCATAAAAGTAAGTTGAATGCAGTGGAGATGCGATCTCTTCGCAAAATGTGCGGCGTTACCATGGCCGACCGAAAGCGAAACGAAGAGATTCGCAATATGGCAGGTTTGAAAGAAGACCTTATCACAAAAATTGATAAGGGCGTGCTTCGGTGGTTTGGGCACGTTGAGCGAATGAGTGAAGACCGAATGGTGAAGAAAATATATAGCGCGAAAGTTAATATTAAAAGGTGTCGAGGTAGACCGAGACTAACTTTCGAAGACCATGTGAGCAAATTGCTCGAAGAGGGTAGGGTCAAGAGTACTCGGATACCTAGACGTGCATGCATGAAGAAGATAATAAATCTGAAAGAAGCGAAAGAGGTTTGTAAGGATCGTGACACTTGGCGATCTGTTCTCTCTGGCTACCCCGTCAGGGATTGTGCGTGAAGATAAGTAAGTATAAATAAGTATTGTTACTAAAGCCGATAAAGGCAATACTGTTGTTATTATGGAGAGGAGTGGGTAGAGCCAGAAAGTTAAGGACGTTATCCAAGGTGATGACTTTGAGCTATTGGAGTCTGACCCAACCAAAAAGTTTACTTCGGATATTAAGTTATGTATACAACAGTCATCATATGTTTTTCCCGATCACAACTTGTTTTGGAGCAATCTTGTTCCAATAGAATAGAATAGAATGATTTTTATTCAATATGGATTATTACATAATACTTATTGAAAGTCATTATTTTATTTACCACTGGTTCGGAAAATACCTCTGACCTGGGAAGAACCAGCAAGAAACCCAGCGGGACTTTTTTTTTTAAACATAATTTCACTTAACAATAATTTTGTTTATACAATTTTAAATGAATTTTCATAGAACCAGCATGGTGGCGATCACCTTATTCCCAGGGGTTATTTTCATTCATGTATTCCTTGATATTATAATTACCCTTTTTGTACAGTTTTTCTTTAATATAACTTTTAAACTTGTTTATTGACAAACTTTGAACATGTTCTGGGATTCTGTTGTAAAAGCGTATACATTGCCCCATAAATGAATTACTAATTCTGTGGAGTCTAGTAAGTGGCATTACAAGCTTATGTTTGTTCCTAGTGTTTAAGGTATGAACATCCTTATTCTTATTAAAGCTATTTATGTTTTTATGTACATACATTACATTTTCATAAATATATTGCGATGCCAAAGTTAATATGTTTATTTCTTTAAATTTTTCTCTGAGGGACTCTTTACAATTTAGATTATAAATCGCCCGTACGGCTCTCTTTTGCAAAACAAATATAGCTTCAATATCAGTCGCATTACCCCATAGCAAAATTCCATAAGACATTACGCTATGAAAGTAACTAAAATACACTAACCTAGCTGTCTCAACATCTGTGAGACTTCTAATCTTTCTTACAGCATATGCTGCAGAACTAAGTCTGCTTGCTAATTTAGATATATGGGGGCCCCATTGAAGTTTCGCGTCAATAGTAATACCGAGAAAAACAGTGGTATCCACAAGACTCAACTCCTCCCCATTTAAGAGCACATTGGTTTTCGAATGTTTTACATTAGGTATTGTAAATTTAATACATTTTGTCTTATTGCCGTTTAAGAGCAAATTGTTGGCGTTAAACCAATGTACTAGTTTCGATAGAGCATTATTTACATCGTCATATTTAATTGACTGCCGTTTCAGTTTGAAAATTAAAGAGGTATCGTCAGCAAATAATACTATATCGTGATTGTCCCCTACAAGATAAGGTAAGTCATTAATATAGATTAAGAACAGGAATGGGCCAAGAATCGAGCCCTGAGGAACGCCCATTGTTACTACCGATCCGGAGGAACATTTACCATTAGTGACGACTTTTTGAGTTCTGTTACTTAAATATGAAGTAATAAGTTTAAGCGCCAAATTTTTTACACCGTAATGTTGTAGTTTCCTGATTAATGTATCATGATGAACACAATCGAAAGCCTTGGAAAGGTCACAGAAAATACCTAAGGCATCGTGTTAATTCTCCCAGGCATTTAAAATATATTTCATAAGCTCAACACCGGCGTCAGACGTCGAGCGACCCCTTGTAAAACCAAATTGATTTTTATGAAGTAATTTATTTGTATTAAAAAAAATTAACAATTGATCCAAAATTATTTTTTCAAAAATTTTACTGAGAGTTGGTAGTACAGAAATAGGTCTATAATTAGCGGGGTCCAATGTACTACCAGATTTAAATAAAGGTATTACTTTACTATACTTCATTAAATCAGGAAACACACCAGAATCGATACAAGTATTAAAAATAATAGCAAGATGAGGTGCAATTAAATCTATTATGGACGCAATCACTGTAACGGAAATCCCCCACCAATCTGCGGTTTTCTTTACATCAATGGTTTTGAAGTATTTTACAATATTATGCGGTAATACTTTTTCAAATCTAAATTCTTTTAAACAGGTAATAACATTCTGTTTAAGTAATGACTCGGCGACAATTGGAGAAGTATTCAATGACTCTGTTGTCAAGATAGGAACATCAGTAAAATATTTCTCAAACAACGCTGCAACTTCTTGATTTGATTTAGTCAATTCATTATTAATTTTTAATTGATAGTTAGAGTTACGAGGTTTCTCTTTACCGGTTTCGCTGTTAATTATACTCCACGTCATTTTAATTTTATTCTTAGCCGTCTTAATTTTGTTACTAATATGTAATGATTTGGCTGTGGAGCAAACTCTTTTAAACATTTTAGAATAATTTTTTACATATTCTTTAAAAGCATCGGAAAGATTATACGATCTTTCATGGTATATAACCTTCGTCTGCTTTTATGAATTCCTACTGTCGCCCACTCATTAAATGCCTTGCGACTGTTTCTGGAGAATGTTTTAGAAGTGAATGTTTTATTAAATTCATTGTTTATAAAGGTAAATAATTCTCTATATAAATAGTCTGCATTGTTCTTATAAGAAAGGGATGGAAGGATTTTTAACATATTACTTCTAAAGTACAATGCCCATTTGTGCCCCAGAAATGCCCAGATAAAGTATATTACAAGATTGTTCTAATAAATAAAAACTAGAATTATGTTGTTAATTTTAAATCATATGAAGCACTGGATAAAAAATTTAAAAAAATAAGATGTTCTTGTTGACATTGCAGTTCGTATCATCGTTTCCGTCATTAATTCATGCTTTATTTATTACGGTCTGGAATCGCGTCCTTTGGCCCATCTAAAACTCAACATGATTGATATTAGTCATAAAAGTGATTACTAAATAATCGAATAATAATATACTGCTTTACAACAAAACCAAATAAAAATATGATTTTATAATAAACGTATATCTAGGTTTCAAATAAACAAATATTATAATTCAAGCAAAAACCTAATGATGTAATGGCTCAAAAGACTTAGCTCCAAGTCAAAAACATTCCAAAAAAACTAAAACTTAGATGGGATTTGGATGACGTCTGTACATGTATTCTGTGGACGTCTGCCGCTGTTTTTGTGTGTTCTCCGATTTTGCTCTTCTGTTCGATAAAAAATCTACCTTGGCTTCGTTTTATGGATATTGATAGTGTCGTTTTATTCGGTGACTTCGGCTTTTTTCTAATAAGGACTTGACTGTGTTTTGTGATTTGGACTTGTCGTTTGTGATACAAAATGTTGCGTTGCCTGAACTGCGGGTTACGCGTTCAGCGAATACAGAGGCATGTGGTTACAACTCTGCCTCAAGAGTTGCTAATAATCCTATCTATTTGGCTGAGAATTGAATATGTAAGTATCTTTATATATCTAAGTATCTTGTAAGTAGAGTATGCGTACACGATAACTTGAAACCTGAGTGCGAGACCTCGCTGTATAAAAAATAAAATATTATTTAATACAATCGAACTTCAGATCTTAACTCATCGCAGACGCGTAAGATAACATATCTCTCTACTTAGTTAATCATTTTTTTTTATGGAATGTGACAACTAACTGACCCATTGTTTTCTTTTCAGCTTCCTATGGAAGATGTGTTGTGTCATGCTTGTTATGTATTGATACAAAATGCTGATGTAAACACACCTAGGACATTAGGTCATACTAATGTCTGTGCTGGTTGTGGCTGTTCTTTGAATGAGGCTAGACTTCACTTTCTTGAAGAAAATAGACCACTTTATGAATATTTCCCTTGGATTAGATCAACACAGGTATTTACCTATTACTACTTATATTGAATATGGTTAATGGTAATGACACATACCATATTAGAAAATAATTCTTATAACTACCTATATCAGTGGAATAGTTTTTAAAATGAAATCATTTGATCCATTTTTTAAACGTTATACGTCAAAACTCCCTTGGTTTGGGGATTTTTTTGTTACTCAACTTAGTTATTTAAGAGATTGTGTATTTTATCATTTTCTATTGCTTTATTTTAACAATGATAATTATTTTCAGAATGGAAGAGATAGCTATGCAGTTTGTCATAATTGTTGGCGGCGAGCTAGCCGACAAGCTGCACAAGATTCTCAACGTGAAATCTCTATACCACAGTTGCCATCTGAACCTGCCCCTGCATCTGCCCCTGCCCCTCCACCTGCACCTGCCTGTCTGCCAGATCAAAGATCCATTGAATCGGCCCCTATCTATTTACCTCATTACAAGAGAGCTGCTAGTACATCACGCCACTGCATTTATGCTGAATGTGGTAATGCATCCATGCATTTAATACCAACATTTATTAAAAAAAGTATAATTACAGAATACAACTTTTATGTGCCCCGGTTTGCACATGTTTGCCAACACCATCTCTTTTCAAATATATGGCATGAATTACCAGAACAATCATGTACAATATCAAGTTTTACTATCAATCAAGTAGAAGATTTAATTGATATTGCAAAACGAAACACTGTCACATTTGATTTTGAACATGTAGAAGAAATGCCCAACCACATATGTTATTATTGGACTGGTCTCGAAGTGACTGAATTTGTTATTTTATTTAATGAGTTACCTTTATTTAATCAGGTACCATCACCAAAAACTGCTTTGGCTATCTTTTTAATTAAAATGAGGACAGGGGACAGTAACAAAAGGTTGTCTTCTTTATTTAATATACCTCGATCAACAATGGAGAGGCACATGAACATTGTACGCTTATGTTTTATGGAACATTTTGTGCCATTGCATATTGGGTTGCAACATCTTACTAGACAAGATATCATAAGAAGAAATCTTAGTATTCCAAATGCTTTTTTTGGCAATCCAAATGACTTAGAGCAAACAAGACCTGCAATCACAATATGTGATGGCACTTACATATATATTGAAAAAAGTTCCAATTATTTTTACCAAAAGGAAACTTATAGTTTGCATAAATATTTGAACCTGGTCAAACCATTTCTTTGTGTGTGTACAGACGGGCATATTATTGATGTGATAGGTCCATATGCTGCCACTCAGACAGATGCCGAAATTATGAAAGATTTATTTAGTGATGAAAATGGGCCCATGCGAACGTTTTACAGAGAGGGAGATGTATTTATACTTGACCGAGGGTTCAGAGATGCAATCCCACTGTTGGAGGCCTGCAATTATAATGTGCAGAAGCCTGAGTCGTTAAATGAGGGAGAACACCAGTTAACAACTATACAAGCGAATAAAAGTAGATTAGTAACTTTATGTCGATGGGTTGTCGAAGTAGTTAACGGGCGTTTTAAAAGAGATTTCAAATTATTTCGCCAGGAGTTTTTTAATAGAGCTCATGCACATTTAATGAATGATTTTAAAATTGCAGCTGCACTAATTAATAGATTTCATCCTACAATTCAAGATCGGCCAGATGCTTCTCTTATAATAGAAAGGGCCATGAGGTATCAACATACTCCGAATTACTTGGCAGAATTTGTAAGCAATTATAATTTAAATAGGCGATCAGTCATGTTTAGACGCATCGATGGGAGCTTTCCTCAATTAAATATATTTCCCATATTTAGTTACTCCGATTTAATTCTTTTCGCTTTGGGTCCATATCAGGTCAAACAAGCACGATCGTATTATGGCGAGCATGTTCGACAAAATGGTTTATATGAAATAGAAGTATGTCCCGAACTGGAACACTGAAGAAATGGTTGCAGCCGTTGGAGGAAATAGACCGTACTTATTAAGGGGTCGAATTCAGTCGCGCCATGTTGGTCGCCGTAAATATTTTACATATATTTTAATCGATGCACAACCATCTGATAATAATTAGATGTAATATTAGGTTACTGTTGTAACTGTCTCGTAGGTAACAGAACAGTGGGATGCTGTTGCCACGTCATGGCCATAATATGGTATTTGGGTTGGGCTAGACATGAGACAAATATATCGAGACCAGCATCATATTTAGATAATATATTACTTGTTATTGAAGAATAAAACAATAAACACTTACCTGCTTATACTCTTTTTCATTTTCTTCGCAACCTGTATCATATCACCAGAAACCAATACAGCAACAAACCAATAATAGAAAAGGTAAACAACCTATTATTATATCTATAATATGTTTATAAAATAATTGTAAATAAGTACTTACTTAAAAGACATACAATTGTTCGATTTTATATTTTTGTCTTTGAGTCAAGCAGTTAATTGATGTCAATTAAATATAAAAACACATGAAAAGATAGTTTAATACAACCCATGCTATTTTATTGCTATATGGTTTTTTTTCTTTCTTTTTAAAAAAAACGTTACCCCCACACTACGATTTTCTCCTGTGACGTGGATGCAGTTTACAAACATAAATTGCACAAGGACAAACATCCAGACCCGGAACAATTACTTGTAGGCCATACAAATACTTGTTCCGTGCGGGATTCGAACCCGCGGCCCCCAGCGCAACATGTGATTGCTAAGCCACGGAGCCGTCATTGCTTTTATAATTTCATCAGAAACACCGATACGACTTAGGGACCTTCAAGAAAAGAGCCTACTCCTTTTTAAAAGGCCGGCAACGCTTCTGCAATTCCCCTGATGTTGCGGTGGTTCGTGGGCGGCGGTAGTCACTTACCATCAAGTGAGCCGCATGCGCGTTTGCCCCCTCCTATAAAAAGATACCGGTTTGTCATGAGTAGTATTTGGTCTCTTTCCATATTATTATTTACTCGAGTACTTAAAGCTTTGTATCTAACCAAATTGTTTTCACATACGTATTGACACTATACAATAGAGACAGACTAGATAATTCCAAATAACTGACATGTTTATCTGATAACATACAGATAAGTATATAAAAGAATACTGATCTGGCTTAGCTTATGTAATGATCATGATCATGAAGCTCCTGGTGAAAAACTAATAGCAATGTTGTCTAAACGATAAAATGTATAAAAAACCAGTAGGCATTTACCATGATTAATGTCCAATATCTTTTGAACCGGTGCTTTATATGACATTAAATCTAGATATCATATAAATACTGTTAAAAAGTTATCATTTGATATAGAGCTACAATTTGGGCATTGCATGGCATTGCTGACTTTCAGCTCCATACTAATATGGGCATGGTCCTTTCTCCAGGCGTTTTGCATTAATAGGAACAAACACAATTTTCTCAATTACCTGTTTTTTGTGCATATAAGGTAACGAAACCAGTTGTCCACAGTGATCTGAACTAAGTTTTTGAATTATTGATTTGTTGATTGGTACAACACCTGTAAAAATATTATCAATACAAGTTGCACTACACCCTGCAATACGTGTAGCTTCAAAGAATAAATTATTAAGATTATAGGATTTGAACAAAGAACAAAATTTAATACTGATGGAAGAAGTTTCCAGGAGATTGATATTAAAGTCTCCACACACTACAAGAGATTTATTCTGTTTATTAAGCTTAACTAAAACTTCTTCCATAATTTTTTCAAAAGTATCATAACTTGAACATGGGGGTCTGTAAACACTGACAATAATAAGGTGCTCAAGCTCAACACATGCCATTTCTACAGTACGCTCAACAGAGAGGCTCACAATGTCTTTACGTTCTTTACATGATAAGGACTTATTAGCTAATATTAAGGAGCCACCACGTAATTTAGTATCTCTATTGAACGAACTGACCACCTGGTGATTACTGAAATTAAATATGGAGTTGTATTCTTTCAACCAATGTTCTGTAATACATAAAATATGTATACTGTCACTATTTAAAAATAATTCAATTTCTAATTCTTTGCCTAACATACCTTGTATATTTTGATGCACCAGGTTGATACAGTTTTTATTATTGTTATTTTGTAAAATTGCATAATTATGTATTGGTAAGTTGCATTCTAAGCTATTTAAATTATCTTTGCTAGAGATTACCTCTATTGTCTTATTATCTAATTTAAATTACTTGGAACTGGTTCCAAATCAAATGTAAAATTATTTTGTTGCTCAAAAGAAGCAGGTGTCAAGGTAGCCAAATCATTGGCTGAGTTAAAATATAAATAATAAGATAGCGTATTTGCTACCAGTCTTAAACTATACTTTGATAGGTAATACCTATCTCGTGTCAAAAACTTCTCAGTTAAATTATTAATATCAATTAAATGAAATTTATCATTATTATTCTTACAATTAAATGTCAAATTTAAGTTATTGTTATGTCAAGTTATGCATCATTAAATTTAAATTATGTCTTAGTTTATTTTCCTGTGGCCACCCCTCTATGTAAGGCAATGTAAACAAGATAACTTTAACCACATTTATGTTATTGAGATATTCAATATATTTTAATAATTGATTCTTGTTCATATTGCCTCTTCTCCCAACAAAAATTATTAATATACTATTAGGGTTAAATTTACTAGTCAAAATTTTATTCATAATATCACTGAATGATGCTCCAGGCATGCAGTAATTACTTATCTGTTGCCTTTTTAAACAGTTATTCAATGATATACCCCAGTTTTTGCCTATGTCATCACTATACACAATTATATTATTTTTTTCATTATATGAATCACTTTTTAAATTTATCTGCTTTGTTATGGTACTACAGGGTGGGGCAGCATAACTTCCTTTTTTTAAAACCTAATAAAACACATTGTATGAATCGGAAAAATTTTATTTGGTTTTTACAATGTAAGTACATACTTAAAGTTTTGTTTTATTTAGTTTTGAAGATCAAATCAGGTAGATGACGTCCCTTATTCTCTATACATTGAGTATACCGATTTCTGGTGTTTGTCATAACTCTTTGAAGCAGAGCAGGCGTTATGTTGGCAATTTCTTCCTGGATGTTGTTCTTTAAATCTTGTAGGGTCCTTGGACGGTTCACATAAACACGGGATTTCAAAAAACCCCATAGAAAAAAGTCACAAGGGGACAAATCGGGAGATCGGGCCGGCCACTGCAAATCGCCCCTGATTGAGATAAGGCGTTCTGGGAAGTGTTCTCTCAAAACAGCCATCGATGCTCTTGCAGTGTGTGCCGTTGCACCGTCTTGTTGGAACCAAATGTCTCCCAAGTCCAACGCATCCAGCCGGGGTAAAAAGAATTCCTGTAACATGTTTACATACCGGCCCGAATTCACTGTTACTGTGACTTCATTTTCCTCAAAGAACCAGGGACCAATAATTGCAGCTGAGGAAATTGCACACCACACTGTGACCTTAGGTGAATGCAAAGGCCTTTCATGCAATTCTCGAGGATTGGTGTCAGCCCAGTAGCGCATGTTTTGTTTGTTCACGGATCCACACAAGTGAAAATGTGCTTCATCACTAAAAAAAACAATAGCGTCCTCAGGAACGACATCCAGAAGAATCTCACATGCGTTCCTGCGAGAATCGTAGTCACGTTTTGACAGTTCCTGTACAGTCGCCATCTTGTATGGATGGAAATGTAAGTCTTCATGGAGAATTCTCCGCACAGAACGACTGGAAAGTCCAAGGGCAGATGCATGTTTGCGCGCAGAACGCCGTGGTGATCGCAACATTGAAGCTCTGACTGCCTCAATGTTCTCAGGTGATCTAATGGGCCGAGGGACTCCAGTTCTTCGTTTTGTCACACTTGCAGTTTGTCTAAACGTAGTGACCCACATAACAATTGATTTTCGGTCTGGAACAGGGGCCAACGGGGCTAAATTAAAGCGATTTCGAAAGGCGCGCTGAGTTGCAATCACAGAACATCCGCGCGAAAAGTAAGCCTCAACAGCAAACGCACGCTCCTCACTGTTCCAACGCATTATGGCGACTGAGCTGTCTCGACTAAACTTTATAGCCCCCCCTCTCGAACGAGACCACTAGCGCTCCACTACGATGTCACCTGACCGAATGGCGCGCATTACAAATAAGGAAGTTATGCTGCCCCACCCTGTATCATAGAGTGTAGGTAAAGAAAATGAAGTATTACTGCTTGTTATATTATTAACACACACTGTCCCTAAAGAACCTGGCAGTGAGTGCTGATATTCATTTTGATATTTTAATAAGGAGTCAAAACGTTCCTCGTTATATTTGCAGGACTTTACCAGATTATCCATGGCCAGTATGTGTTCTTTTATCTCATTCCCTGCAGATTTATATTTATTTGACATAATTTGTAATGAGGTTTGAAGTGATAAAATTTCTGAATTAAGACACTCTATTTCAGTCTCATAACAATTTTTCATGTTTTCCACCTCAATTGAATATATTTTATTTTACTAATTAACTCTTGCTTTTCCTTACATACATTTGTATAATTTTTAATATTAATTTTAGTTTTAACTAATTTTTGCACTTTCCTAATATATTTATTAATTTTTATATATTTTTTTAATTTCCTTCTGCTGCTTGTAATCCTTTCTGCTGTTCTTGATGTGGTAGAATCATCGGTCAAATCGATTGTTGTGGAGGGTTGCAACGTTTTATAAAATTTACATTCTACGAGCTCTTCGAACAGACTCTGAGTTTTAAGTGCATGCAAGTTATCAATGTTTTCTTTAAATTGTGAAATTTGCTCATTAGCTTCAGTTAATTGTAATTTCAATGCAGCAATTAATCTGAGGGATTCCTCATATTCTTTGCTGCATCGGTCAAACTCATCCACTGTCCCCTGGAGCTGATCCCTTTCCTTTAAAATATCTGTATAGTCTCTATGTAACTTAACCATATCACTTTTCAATTGAGTATTTTTCGAAATTATACTTATTATTTCCTTTTCGTTGTCATCCCTTTCTTTAAGTAACAGCTCACACTGCTCCCTGGACGCCCTCAGTTCTTGGAGCGCAAGATGGAGTTGGTTCTCCATCTGGCGCGTTTTGGCGTTACGAGTATTCATTTTACTATGTATTTTAAATAGTAAAAGAAAACAAAGATGGAAAATCAAGGGAACAGAGTAAGCAAATATCCAATTGTAGGACTCTAATTACAGATCTCAAATTAAATTATAAAGAAAACAATTCAAAA